GTTAATTCAGGATCCTTATGTGCCGAGTCTGGTAGTTGGGTAGGCCTGACAGATAAATTTAGATTACTTCCAATGTGCATGTTGCACATACAACAGATTACAACCATCCAGAGCTGAATTCAAGCAAGGCGTTGTTCAGGCGGTCAAGGACCAAACCATATTCTGTATCAAAATAAAGGTTGTCCTTATGGGGGGGTCACCAGCATTCTTGCCAGCAAAAGTAGTCACTTGCTGAGTTGACATTTGCCATTTACTAGTGGCTCCCCCTTGGTAATTGTACTGTTGGGAAGAAAGTGAACCGATTAAGTATAAGATTCGTATAAAATGCGTATCACAGGATGCCATGTAGACATGGCTTTTGTAATTGGAAATGAATTTTTCTACTTGTATGGGGTAATATCAATGTTATCTGATCATTGATTTTTCTTACACTTACTCAAGTCCTTGCTGAGTAGAATCTTACACTGCAGTAAGATGACTTGTTGAGTGAAGGTTTACCTTTTTTTGCAGTAGAGGATCCAGTTGTTTTGTTGGGGGGGGGGGTGGATATAAGGATATGACGTAGTATATGAAGATGATTTTACTGTATAAACGAACACTGATGTAGGGGAAAGGAATGGAAAAGTTGCATGGTTTTCATGCACTCTGTGTTATACTACTTCTCTACTTTAATCTCCAGATTAAAACTTGAGGAGATAAGTGCATGAATATAGTATACATATATTAAGTTGCTATCTGAAACAGAAATGAGTTACTGGGTAGTAGTGTATATGCAATATGAATGGAAAGACTGAATTGTAGGACTCATAAGAGGCTGCTGACTTTGTATTTTGCTCATTCCAAGAAACTAACGTCAGGAGACAAGTCATTCGCAAAAGAACGCATGAAAAAAAAGGTATTCAAAGTAGATTAGACTAGCGTAATAATTAAATTTAGATAGGCGGTGAATGTTGGTGAAGTATCGAACCTTTGTTAATACCAAAATGACACATTAACTGCCTGCTTGGGGAATAAGGCAGAGGAAACACTTTATAGACCTTCCCCCTTGGGGGCCTATGAGATACGTTCTGCTGTGAGAAAATAAGTGGCATGCTAGGACAGACTGTATGAAGCTGTCACCAAGTTTATAAAGGTGTGTTTTACATTGGATGGACACAGTATCAATCAGAAAGTTCCTAGCTGTTCATTTGACTGAAAAGAATGTACATGTAGCAACTGGGTACATGTCCACTGCTGAGCTGGTAACCCTCGTGTTTATGTTGTCAGTTAGTCGAGGTTGAACAAGGTATTATATTCAGTTTATTATATCCTTGGTCTTATGTGCTTTTGAATATTTTATACTGTAAATGTACCTCTTGAGTGCAGACAAAATGAGTTTTTGGAAAGTGAAACTGGGAATAGAGAATTAAGTTAGAACATTTACATGTATCTCATTACTGCCGTGTGCATGGTTAATGCACCGTCTCCATAATTAGAGCACGGAGTTGGAGCAGTGAACCAAAGCTAATAAGATAATTTAAGACACGAGAAAAGGCAAAGGGTTTTATATTTTGAATAAGGGAGAGGTTGTCAAAAGAGTAAGGGGAAAATTGTCTCAATCATTCATTCTTTTATACACTTAAAGTGGATTTTCATTGAATATTTTTTATTGATTTACAGGTACTGGACTATGCTTTTACATGTACAATGTATTAGATTTGATGATGTAAAGGCAAACCAGGGGGTTCATATCGTGCATCTATCCTGACCACAAATTTTTGGCAAAGGTACACTGATATGTAAGGTTGGACTTTCAGTGTAAAGCTAGGTCACTTCATACTCAGGCCCGTAGCCAGCAGTTTCAAANAAATTTTTGGCAAAGGTACACTGATATGTAAGGTTGGACTTTCAGTGTAAAGCTAGGTCACTTCATACTCAGGCCCGTAGCCAGCAATTTCAAAGGGGGGGGTTCTTTTTCTGAAAAAGTGGACCTTTTACCATATAATCCCCATGTACCTAGATCAAATTTTACCCAGAGTGGACCTTTTTCCAGCAAAAGGGGGGTTCTTTCGAACCCCCCGAACCCCCCCTGGCTACGGGCCTGATACTTGTTTGACAAAAGAGATACCATGTGAATTTTTTGGTTGCCACATACTCATTTTGCATTTACTTCAAACTGCTTTAACAATATTACTCTAAAATATCAAATGTACTTTTATTTATTTATTTTATTTCATTCATTTATTTAATTATTAACTGGTTTAGGGGCTGACAAGACTCCTCAGTCCCCTCTCATTAAGTCCTAATTCCTAATATTTGGTTTCCTCTAGTTAGAGTTGGGGGCAAAAAGAGAGGATTATACATATATACTTCTTGGTAATGATATTAAGTTAGGAATACATGCAGTATACTCTCACAAATTATCCATTATCAAATCCTCACTGGTATCCAGTAGATGCATCATTATAGGCCCATGTACATCTAAGACTCATTATATACTGGTCTGTAAAGTTGGTACGAGGCCCTCATACTTTAATTACCGGTAGCTAGGATGCATGAATTTTAGGTTGCCCCATGTCTGATGAGGATGCTATTCATAGACCCCATTCAGATACACACATATTGTGCTAATTTGGCCAGTCCTTCTATGCTGGAGATTCTTGTTAAATGCAAGCAGTGGAATAAGCTTAATAGTCTGACACACCTCCTCGAGAGTTAATTACCCCCTAGCTGCTCGAGGAGGTGTGCCATTCAGTTTAAATGATTGTACTTAGCGAGACCCCCCACAGAGTTGGACAGACGAAATTATGTAGTATGATGTGTCTAACTGAATATCCATGCATATTTGGACATGGAGTTACCATGGAAAATCTATAGCAAATTTTCAAGCAAATAGCACATTGATGTGAAAGAGTAAATTTAAGAAAAAAAATATCTGTGGATAAATTCTATCAGGTTTTATTTGTTACCGCACATTGCTCGCTAGTCTGTAATTATTTCTTTTCCCATCCTTCAAATTCTGCAAAATCTTATTTCGGGTATATCTCGACTCTCATTTTGGCCAGGATAGTAAAAGTACTTTTCTTCCTGTGTGCAATCAAAATTATACCAAAAGAAAATTTCTTGTCATTGAGATTTATACATTAGTTAATCATATTCGAAATGCTGTACTTGGTACTTAGCCAATAAAAAACCCATATATTAATGGAATACAGAAGTAAGTTCAGCTCAGTTCTTGTTTGAATTATAAGAACAATCCTATAATGCAATTTGTACACTTTATTTTTGGTAACTTTGATTCACTCATCAATCTTACAATGAAATGTAGCCTTTAAATAATCCCTTATCAAATATTTGTGTAAGAAATCCTATTAAGGCAGTTAGCATGCATTGATTTTTAGGGGGGCTAACAGATTTAAGTATAGTACTTAAATGGTGACTTAACCATTGCACTTGCTATATCTTTAATGACAGACAAGTTGGCGCAACTATTTTACAAGTAGAAATTATAGATTTTGTATTTAACATACCATAAGGATAATACTTCTTAAGAGCTTATAGCTTGCATTCTATGTTTAGAACCTTCTTGTTGTCAAATTCCTAGAATTTGATTTCTTAGAATTTGAGCAAAAACAGCACCAGAGCTTTGAAGGTGATCAGTGCCAAATTTTCCACCATTCACTACCACATTTGTCACAGACTGTAATCAATTTTATCAAAAAAAAAATTTTTTTTGACTTCTGGATAGAGCTCTCTGCATCATGACCAGCAAAAATTGTGCTATGATTGATATCTATAAATCAGAGAAAATTGTCTGCTATACTAGTACCCTTATGTACATTTTAGGGAGTCACTTTGACTTTTAAATGTTTCAGCGAATGTAGCTGAAACAAGGTATCTGTTTGCTGTACATGTGTTCATATGTGCTGAATGAAACTCGAGAGCCTTATAAGCACAGGGACATTGTCTAGCCTGAAGGCATTAACCTTTTTTATTCTTCCAGATAATGCACTTATCTGTCTTCTTGGAAATGTTCAGCACTTATTGCTTAATAATTTATTTCAGAGATTTGTATTATGGTCAATCCTCAAGTGTTCCCTTTAGGAATGTTTCAAAAAACAAAAAGTTCACAAAGTAGATATAGGGATTGAGTGCCAATTATGTATATATCTAATTCCTTAGGGCTCATTCCCAGTGAAACTGTTGTTCTATGCAGATTGATACAACTCCCAAGGGACTCTCGCTGAATGCAAACAGTTTAACAGATTAACATGCCTCCTCCTGGCACTGCGTAGAACACAGAAAAGCTGGTGATTATATGAGTACACTGGAAACAAGACTGGTCATGTTTATTTGTTAAACTAATTGCACTGACCAAGAGTCCCCATGGATTGATTTACATGGACTGTGGTTTGAATGGTCATGAGCCCTTATTTGTTGCTCTCAAACATTTATTTAACAATAATGGCATAATAGCCAGAATTATACTTTTGAACTTTATGTTTAAAATCTAGGTGTATTTATTTTAAGAACATGGGAGTAAATCAAGATATTTTTATAAGACTAAGTTTATTTTTCATTATCTAATTTTTTGGAACATTTTATTCATAGATGTTTTTTTTAATTTGAACTACAGCTGCTTTATTTCAGCAATGTTTTTACTTAACCATTTTCACTTAACTGTGATTCATGGATAGGAAGTTAATAATTTAAACTGCAGATTAAATTATAATTTCAAATTTCATCTTTCACTGATTCAAATTCTAAATGTTGCTATTCAAGAACAGGAGTAAATCAGGGGCGGATCCAGAGATATTTTCTGACAGTCTTCCAAATTATCTTTCTTAATCCATCCTCCATTTTTGACCGTCTTCCGACAGAAAACATTAGATACCCGTCAACGTAAACTTAAAAATCTGACCGTCTTCCGGAAGACCCAGAAGACGGCCTAAATCCGCGCCTGTAAATGGCAGCTCAGAAGTGGTGCTGATTGTTTTACCTTTTTATATGTCTTGTTTCAGATGTGTCTCCATGCCATCCTGCTAATTCTATGTCTGGAATTGTCTTTTATCCTCAGCTATGCAACCATCTGGCCAGGTCAGTATATCTATACCTTTCCCACTCATATGCGTGCAAACGCACCTCTGAAATGCACAAATGCACACACATGCATGCCTGTACCACACACTTTTAATCATCACTGTTCAAGAATGTGAAACTTTTAGTGAAATTCCATATTAAACTCAATGCAGCAATTATCATGCACTCTTGATATCACTCAGCATGGGTTTTAGAATTTTGAATATGATGCCAGTCTTATTTATCCCTTGATTTTTTCTCAGTGCATGACAGTTGATACTGTCTAAAATGAGTAAGTCCATTGTATTTCATGCTGAGCATGTTATCAACAATAGATTAGCACAGGGAAGGGAACAAAGGTGATTCACAATAAATGAGAAGAGTCCTTGAGTGGTTTATGATTTAATCATTGTTTCAAATGTCCAGATACTCATTGGAAAAAAGACACCACAGGCCTTATAAATGGATTAGGCTTTTACTAACACTGCCCACAGATCTTTTAGCACTAATGCCCATATTAACCACATAACCCACAAATTAACCAACACACCGTAAAAGTATTTACCACTACTAGAAAGATTTCTAGCACTAACATTCATCCACTCTGGTAGTGTTGGTTAATTTGTGGGTCATGTGGTTAATGTGGGTGTTAGTGCTAAAAGATCTGTGGGTAGTGTTAGTAAACATCTAATCCATTTATAAGGCCTGTACCAGTTTCTGAAAATTACAGCAATTTAGCACTTTGTCGGCTTTTTTCTAAACCATTTTTCAAGTATGGTAATTTCATTTAATGTGTGCTGATTTGTGGACATATTATAAAACTAAGCTTCAACTTGGTTTCAAGGAATTAGGCAGTTCAGTTAATAGAAGTAGGCAGTTCAGATGAGGCAGGCCTTACTCAGAGTTTTTACTGGTCACTACTGTCATCCCTTATTTCCTGATTCTGTTCGATATGAGCTTATCTCTTCATTCTCACTTCTGTTTATCTTTCTTTAAAAATTATTACAATAGGTTTTTTACTTTAGTTTGCACTTTTTAATTTTTTTTTCACACTTTTATTCTGCCAGTCACTTTTCAATCAGCAATGCTGTGTTTGTTTGACTACCCGTGCCTGATAAAAAATTGATCTTCCATCAGCAGATCCTAAATTGTACACATTTTCAAAATTACATATCTCCACTGGCCCAGTCATAACAGTAGGAGTCAGGTTATTAACTTGATTTGTATTACAGGCTATTAAGTTTTGACACAAGTACATAATCGCATGTTTGTGAGCCATGGCTTTGCAATGATCAATATAAGCAACTTTGGGGACCATTTGGTGGGCCAGCCATCTTCAAATGTTCGTAGTTTGTAGGATACTCCAGTTGCTTTGTGGTTTTAAGGAGGGCCTGGGCATCTGTTATCTTATAACTATTCCTGAGACTAGAATTTAATTATTGTCAAGAAGTCCAATTATCTTGGCAATTTCTTACAATTGAAAATGCTGTGTCAAGTTTCTCCTAGGTTGACTGGCACTTAAGCAGATTATATGTGTTATAGATGCTGCTCAGTAAAGAATGTGTATGCTTTTTAACACATTATTATAAAAAATGCCAACTGTTATAAATTTAAAACTGTAATAAGTGGTAATCTTAATGGTGATATTTTGACACGCAAGTGCAACAAGAATGGAGAAATGGGATGCTTTTTTTTCCTTTTTATATATGAACATTTTATTTGAATTCTTTTGCCATAAGCATTTGCTTTGACCACAGACTGACTTTTACAGTTGTTAAAAGTTTAGTCTGTCACAATGTCCATTAGTAACTTTAAATCAAGTTAGTTTGGCTAAAGGCTAAAATGAAAGGTAAATGTGTTTTTTAAGTCAAAAGAAAAACCTACTGAAAATAAAAGGCCTTCAATAAAAACACAAAAGTGAAGAACTCATTAACGTTATAAACCAATTCTAAGAATTCTTTTATTGTTAAGTTTGTTGTCACTGTGGATTTGTTTATCTTTTCTGCTGCAGCACAGGAGAAGTGTGTAGCATACACAAGCACATATCATATCGTCAAAGGTAAACCAATTACTAGCAAGCTCTATATCAGCTGCTAGTATAGGGTAAGGTAACATTGTTGTGTTGGTAACCCCAGTAGAAATATACTGTGCTATTACTGTATTATCATATATATATATATATATTTGTTTTCCACAGGCAATGATCAAGTAAGTATGCATACATATCTATCATCATATAAGTTTGTTTACATGTTTAGAATCACATATTAAGACAAGTTCTTAATAAGTAGTTTATATAGCCATTTATATATAATTAAATATTTTGATTTCTTGGTCAAAATGCACCAGGACACATTTTCAATTTAAAAAAGATTTTATTACTCTGTGCCCAATTTTTTAGACTATTTATTTTCAAAGTTATTGTGTGAGTGTGTGCATGTGTGCGTGTGTGTGTGTGTGTGTGTGTGTGGTCATACATCAAGATGTATAGTTTTGGTCATCTATCCTTTTTGTTTTCTCTTCCCAGTGAATCTTATTATTTTTCCAAATTTCTTATTTATTTAAATTGTTCACAAATAATTTTCTTTTAGCAATAAGGCTCCAAGGTCTGTTGTTCAGGGAAAGGCAGGCAGAATGAACATCACTTCTATGCCTACATGCAAATGATTGCAATGGTTGTGACATTGCATTGTGCTGGGTTGTGCCAGACATTGCTATAAGGATCTCTTTCAATTTTCAGGTTGCAGTTGTGTGACGTATGACAGCCAACATAGATCTGAAGGAGAATTCCATTCTCCAAACTATCCAGACAATTATCCACCCAACCTTAATTGCATTTTGTACACATTTAAAGGAGAAGTGGATGAAATAGTAGAAATATCATTCCGGGTCTTTGACATTCGCACAAAGTCACCAAACAAGTAAGTAAATAAAATTTTCAAAGGATTGTTTGATTTTTTTCAAAGACTGACAATATGTTATAGATTATGAAACATGGGTGTATTCTTAAATATATGAGCCAACAGGGGGCATCTCGATAGTCCGAAGGTTCACTGGTCCGAAGGTTCTATAGTGAACATTCGGACCAATGAACCTTTGGACTATTGAACCTACAGACTATTGCTACAGCCCTGGGCAACATGTGCTTGTGAACACATGCACATGCAGGCACGTATGCATGCACACACACACACTGCTAGGAAGGTACTATACTATGTAATATACTGGAACTCTGAAAAAATGAAACATCAAAACATCTCCAAATTCCATGCACAACTAGATGTTTATTTTCACTCACTAATAACCATGTAATCAGTTGCAACTTTGGCAAAAAATTATTTTGTATGAAAAGTCTTGCCTAATTATTTTCAGGTGTTTAGATGGGGAAACAGCTGATTATCTTCGTTTATATCTTGATCTGGATAGACCAGAGGTAAATGAACGCACTGAATTTACGTCTGTAATATGTGGAAATATGACTATGATACAGAAAGACTACTATTCATCAGGAAGGATTATTATGATGGAATTTCATTCAGGGAATGGTGCCCAAAAAAATGTGGGATTTCGGGGACGTTTTAGATTCTTGGCAGCAGGTGAGTAGGTGTAAGACAGTTTAGTACTTCAAGCTTCATCTTTTGCCTTTGTATCTGCATGTGAGTTTCAGAATTTTAGAACAGTAGGCATGGGGGATTCAAGGGTACTATTGAAACACTGTTTTGTTAGAGAGAAGATATGCTCTGAATTAAAATTGTTTCAAATTATGCTACAAATATGAGGCTATGCAGTAAAAAGATCAACTGCTTTAGAAAAAGACCTCCTTTGAAATTGCTGGCTACACGCTGAATCCCCAAAGTAAAAGGGGCAAATTTTTGGAATGAAAGTAATACAAATATAACTTTAAAATAGACCATCACAAAGAGTTCATTGAAATTTGAGATATCAAGGTTAAGAAAAGTTCAGATTTTCAGTAAGGATGACTGAAATTTGAGAAGTGATTTGAAAATTTAGTGCATTTAGATGCAGTGTTTTGAGAAAATATATATGGGGAAGCTGATTTTTTGCCATAAAGGTAAAAGCATTATCAAAATCAATTTAGTGGAGTACTTTACAACAGTTACCCACTTACTGTGACTTTGAACTGAGACTACAATTTCCAAAGTCATCACAAATCTTAATGATTTGTCCATTTCTCATTTGTTGTTTTATCATGGGGAACACAGTCAGGCTTCAGTGAGGACGGCACACTGGTGGCCTAAGCACATCATATTGTGTGTACAAGTCTTTTCTTTTTAAATTTTTTTAAAATTCTTTTTAAATGTGAGAAAAGTCTTTATTGTTTATTTTCAGACCAGTATAAACAAGACTGCATGAAAGTAATAGGTCCAGAGTGCCGATACATATGTAATAGTACTGTCACAAAAACTGGAAAATTTTTCTCTCAAGGATATCCACAAAACTATAAAAGTAAAACCCAGTGCCATTATGTTTTTCGTGGAACACCGAGAGAACGAGTACATATAAAATTTAAAAACATTCAGTTGGGCCATGCCCCAGGAAGGTATGTAAACTTAGTCGAATTACTTTTTTGTCTTAAGATGTATGTAATTATTTTAAACTTTAAATTGTACTACATGCAGTGGGTTACATTGTAATATCCAAATGTATTGTAAGATGTTTCTTTATCAATATCAAACAATCTTTGCGTAAGTTAAATGAATGTTATTAACTGTGGGTTTCCTGAGAACTGAATTTCTGCATAAAACATTCATGCAACATCAATTAGTGTACCTTTATTGTCTTTTTCAGTTGTCATGTGGGGCAAAATGATAAAATAATCATCCACGATGGACCAAATAAACAGAGTTCTGTGATTAAAGAACTTTGCAATGATGGCAACAATATTGAGTTTGAGTCAAGTTTACAGGATATGTATGTGCATTTCAATTCAAGTGGCTTTCAACCCAAGAAGGGCTTTACTGCTCATTTTGAATTCTTGCCTAGGGAAAACACTACTACTCCTTCAACTGACACAGGTGAGGACTTCTGTTAATTATCAACCATTTTTATTCAAGAAATTTTTGCCTGTTTACCTGTTTGGGGTACTAATTGTACAAAAGGTACACCTGTGTGATCGGATAATGGACATAATGGAGCTATTTATTTTGAAGTAAAAATGTTGATATTACATTTTTGCATACATTTTTTGCACTGAATGTATACTATTCTTCTTTTGAACCTTGAACAAACAATTTTCACGGACATGTTCCAAAGATATGCTCATGATAGATTTGGTAAAAAAATTAACAAATTAAAAAAATTAACAATTCACGTGTGTGTGTGTGTGTGTGTGTGTGTGTGTGTGTGTGTGTGTGTGTGTTTGCATATGTGTGTTCTTCTCTACAGCATTTTAACAGCCCATATGTTTGTTAGATACATTCTTCAGTAAAGCACTCTAACATGCATACATGATTGTAACCTTGTTTTGAAGAAATTATTACATTTATTCTTCTTCACTTAAACACTCAGAGAGCTCAGCTTAATTGTAATGCTGAGGCAATGACAGTTATCATAGGTTTGCTCCCCATGATATTGGAAAAAATCAAATTATCAAGACGACTGACTTACTTGAGCTCACTTGAGACCAACATAATTGATGACATGGAATGAGGCTGTAGGTTTCCTTACACCATGCCATGTATGGCCCTTTGAGTCATGCTTCTAGCTATGAATATACCGTAAGCATTTGCCATAAATACAGCAGAGCTGAATGGACTTAAAATGAGGCAATACATGTATTTCCTGACCATTGCATTTTGTCCAGTCAAGCAATTCAGATAACAATGATAACAGTCCAGTATTCAATACTGTTATATTGCTTTTAATTTCCAAAATTCATGAATTTCCAAGATTTGTGTAAAGAAAGTTTCTAACACCTGTTAAAATCATTGGTATTTTCAAGATTAGATGAATTACTTGTGCTGATGTCAAATTAAGGACATTAAAAAACCTTGTGACCATACTTCATCCGACAGTTGCTTGCAATTGATTGCAATCACCTGTATTATCCCATTGTTATCCCATCCACCTATCACTCTCATGGCCCCTTGACTCTGGGTCGGATTGTAGAAGAGTTGCCTATTGATAGGTTTTAATCAAGCTTTTATTTCCTGAAGCCATGCTTTATGTATCTATATAAATTATTCTGAACATTCTTACTTTGTGGGATTGATAAACCTTGGTTTAACAGAGAGAACCGTTACAAATGTGTGCTGTTCTGAATTTTTTATATTCCTGTGCATGCTTTTAAATCAGCAGACATGGGTTTATTGAGCAGAAACAGTGATGCTAGGGCCTTAGAGACAACCGCTGCTGCCTTAAGGGTCATTTGTACATATTGGGCTTCTGTAGATACATTTATTTAGCCTAGACAGTTGCAATTGACCCCATGAACCCATTGTTTTGAGTCAAAATTGAAACCTCAAAACACATTTTCATCAATCTTCTAGATTGCCTTAGTGCACTGGTTGGGAATACTTGTCAGGGTTTTGATAAGATTTATAGTCTTTTTTTAATTCTTTTCTTTTATTATTTGGACAGGCATATGAATGAATATGTAAATGAATACCTTAGACAAAAAGTGCATGCAAAAGTGGATGCAGAACAGGGCCGGATCCAGGATTAGTTGAAGGAGGGTTCTGCGGATGCGAAGCTGACCTCCACCCCCATCCCTTGGCGTGGTGTTTGGGGCTTGGTGAAGGGCCCCGTTAATTTTGGGTATTTAAGAGAGCGAACAGTGCCATTTGGTACGGTTTAGAAATGTGCTTCAGCTTGTCAAAATTCTTATGATTTTTTCAGAAATCTAAGGGGGCCAGGACCCCCCTGACCCCCTTCCCCTAAATCCGCCACTGCAGAGAGTACTTGTCAAAACTAAAGAGCAGATTCAACAACCTTATTTAACAAGGAGAGTAAAAACTTACCTAAAGTTCACAGAAATATTGCAAAATGCTCCCAAATGCATCTCATTTCTAAAACAAATTAGCAGTATAAGGTGCCAAACCAAAAAATCAAACAGATAAGAAGATGACTGAAGTTAACAAAATTATAATGAAAGAGCTTGGTCAAAGATGTCTGGCTTCACTAGCAGACCACTGTCTGTCCATTTCCTGTGTAGATGAATGATGTATCTGACCCATTAATTTTCGTAACAATACAGTTGTTATACTGGAATATACATGTTTATAAAAAGGATAACAACTGTTTATTTTGGCCAAAAAATTCATTTTCCTGGGGTAAATGACAATTTTCCCATACTAACCAATGGTTAATGAATCCATTCCTACAATCAAAGGTAGTCCCTGTTTTTTTTTTCCAAAAAGTTTCTCTAGAGTGATTATTACAGAGGGTAGCCATAATGGAGGTGACATGGTTGGAAGGCAAGGTTTCAGAATAATTGCTATAAATGCCGTTTTTGTGGTAATTAAAATAGAATATATTATGTTTCTATGAGTTGTTTACAATGTATTTATTGTGAAATATAAATCTCATGTGCAGAGTTGTTATCCCTTTAACTCTAAAATTTCCCCATGTTTGATAATTTCCTTAATTTTTCTCACATAAACCCTTTCTTAAATTTTGATTCCACCACATTTTTTGTATATGTTTTAAAGTATTTCTCACACAATTGCTTTAATTATTTGGTATCGATTTTATGTTTTGTTATTTTCTTTTTTTCTACTTTAGATCTGTCTACTAATACACAGCCTGGTAGCACCACCTCTGGTAAGTCTTTTGTGTGGTAATTACTCACAAAATTTAAACAACATTCATTAGAACATTCCCAAAATAATGTTACAGTTGTAATACTTTAGAAGTTAAGGGGTATTTTTACAGGTCCAAAATTGTATTTCTGTTTGTGCCAAAAAGTATTTTTTAAATAAAAAATTGTAAAGGTGTCATTGTCTTGATGAATGAAGTGTTCAATATTTGTGAGAGATAACTATAAATTTACAATGTGCCTTTTTGCTTCATGTCACTATGTAAAAAATGCTAAATTTGCAAGGATCCATGGTGTTTTACTAAGAGATAAAAAAAAGATAAGAAAAATCTTGTTGAGAGTGGGCAGGAACATACCACATTTAGTGAGGAAAGTTCAAATTGTCATCTTTCTAATTCACAAAGAATTAATAATGACCAATGTTACCAAAATTTTCTGCTTTTAAACAAATTTATACCTAGATTTTTCTTGACTGATTACAAAGAAACAAATATAACCACGAGTTTTTGAACACACCTTTTAGACTTTTTGGTTTTTAAGAGGGGTAATTACTGCCTTAGTTGAAAAATAGTTTTAAGGTTTTTTAAAAAGGGCACCTTTTATTAACTTTTTTATAGTTACACACAAGCTATTACCAATAGAGAACAAATATTAGCAAGATCAAGGGTATGGAACTTCCAAGATGAAAGTTTATTGAGTTCATTGATAACCCTGACATTTTGTCACTTTCACTCCCAGTACACTTAAAATGATACATGAACCAAGTAACTACATATCTTGACTTTTTTTGCACTAATGTGCCCATGAAATATTGCACAGCTACATGCAGGTGCTTATTGGTACTTTACTTATGCCCCAATTATGCTGAATTTTGGATGTATCAAAAACTCACCAAATTGTGGCATGAGTAATCTCAGTACCTGTGCTATATTATTTCATGGCATGATTTGACATTCAGGTATGCACCAACACTAAGGCATGTTTATAATGAAAATTACCAGTAGTCTCAAATGTGTTGATTTACAAAATGGCCACTTAAGGACTGAAGGCGCAACAGCGACCTCTAGCGCCAAGTGGGCTAGCATACCCCATTGCAATCCAACAGTTATTAGTTCTTCATGAAGTTGAAAATGAAACTTTTCATGAAACATTTCTGGGGATGTATTTAGAAAAAGCACCATGGTACCTCACAGGTTTTTTAATGTGGCAGTAAATATATTTTCTCTTGTGGCTAAAATGAGCTTTTGAATTGCTGTACATGCTGTGGCATTCAGCACAGCCATGGTTCTACAAGTGCATTAACTATACGAGGTGCGATAATTTGTTCTTTAATGAATTAAATTACAGAACTAATTTCCTGTTTCGTCTGAACGAAGTTATTGACCTACTGAAACCTCAGTTGCAATGGATTGCTTGGCAGTATATTATATAGTCTTCTCATTGAACATCATCATTCAAAATGAATGTCTCTTTTATTTCAACTCACAGCATGAAGGCATAATAATGCATTGTTTGATTAATTGTTATTGCCAAAAGTATAAATGTTTCTTTTAATTCTTTATGAATATGATATACTTGTAAATTGTGTAGCTTTGAATAAGCCAGTTATGACACAGTCAGACCCATCAATAATAGATTTTCTCCAATAGAGCACTTAGACATACACCAAGTATAGTGCCTGTTTAATTTCTCACTGTGCATAATGGGTTTTGATTTACAGGACAAAAGTTTCATTACTTTGAAATGGCTCTGCAGATTAACCAAATATTTGTCGCCATGATAGGGCTTTGAAATATCTTTTCTCCTGCTCTACTGTTGCTAATGTCATAGTGGTGAATTTCGAAAGAAATTTTGCAGAAAGAAAGCATGTAATGACAAGAGTTCACCCTTGGTAGGTTAACTGTATCTTTGATGCAGGATGCATCAAGTTGTGATGAAGCAGCAGATACGTTTGTGCATGCAGAATTTACTATGGACATGGGAATAAGTTACAAAATTTTCATCAAGCTTTGGAGCATTGGATCAAAATTGATTGGCAGGTTATCCATTATTTCTTTGACAACTGGTTTGTAATGAATTGATTAACAGGAAATTGTTACTTGGATGGCTAACAACTGGAAACGGCTGATAAGGTTGCAAGTAGATCATGGTAATTTCTATGCTACAATGTAGATGGATAGATGATATTTTCTTTTGTTCATACAGTCAATGTTCTTAAATCAAAGAGGTTGTTATACCATGGTCCTTGCTGAAAATGATCAGAAAATGTTTAGCCTTGACCCGCAAGTTAGGCAACCTTGAGTCTTCAAGTCTAAGGTAATTTTTAAAAGTGAATACTGAATATTGGATTTTTCCCTGAGCTACATGTGACTCTCTCCATGCTATGGCACAAAGCCATTTTCACTTTAGATTCTGGAAAGATGTTTGATGGGGATTGTCAAATGGGAATTACACATCCAACAGGGTTCTGGCAGAACGCTGTTGATGATCTGTAATTGATCTTGCTAAAGTGTGCATGATGGAAACAGTGCAAGCAGAATTATATCCTTCTCATTATCAAAATGGCCTCAAGTTCTCAATATTCCTGAGAGTGCACCAAATATTTTGTGCTTGAACTGCCAAATGTCAGCATGGAGTCACTATGATTCCTTTGAGTATTCCTTCTTGTATTGTCTGCTCTAGTTTTAATATACAGTGGCTTGAGGTATTTAAGTTTTTTTCCCCTAAGCAATTTTGTTTGTACAGGTTGCAAATGCACTAACAACATGTTACTGTTGGCTTCAGATTGACCTTCCACTCATTTTATTGCTTGGTTTAACAAGTTTGCATGTAAACAATTTAATGATCTACTTAATATATTTTTCATACAAACACCATAAAGGTTTTTAATTATCAACAGTAAGCAATGACATAGCCTCTTTTAAATTAAACAATGCAGATATTATAGAGGGTACAGAAATTTTATTTCATCAACGAATAATTTTGTGTGTGATCTGCCATAGTTGTGTCGTTTTTCATAAAACTGTCCATCACAGTTCAACAAAAATTGCTTAACGTTTCACCATTATTTTACCTTCAGTACATAAAAATTATGACTCAAAAGCTTTAAAGTTTTCCTTGTGGTGTTCAGTACTAAATCAGGCCTACCCAACTACCAGACTCGGCACCTACGGATCCAGAATAAACCGGTATATCAGACCACACTACCCGTTTTCAAGGTAAGTGTCAGATTCTGGAAGTTGGGTAGGCCTGTAAATGAAACTAAAATAAAGGCAATGTCAGAATTAAACATTTATAGTCTGGCTGTTTGATGAACCCCTGTTGTCTGAGTAAATTAAAAAGATTAGAAATATTAAACTTTACTTTCTTGTACTATCCTCATCAATATATAATTTCGTTCTAAATTCAATTTTTTAAAATAGGCCTTTTCTTTTGAACGTCTAGTTATGTATACAAAATATGTCCTCAGATTTCCTCAAACTCAGAGATCAGCAATCAGTGAGATTCACACAGGGACCATTAGTGTGGAACAGGGCCCTGACAAGAAGCTGAGCATTAGTCAATTCCTTTGGGAAGGACTTTCTCATGTCAGTTCTTTTAGAGCAATAGAGTTGCCAATACTTTCCATTCAGCCTCGTTAAACCTCTTAATCTCTTTATTTTCTAAAAGGGCTGATGAAACACTTACTGTATAGCTTAATCTAGCATTTTTCCATTAATGTAATTCCTGCATCCAGAAAATGCTTTTTAAGACTGCTTTAATTGCACTCAGAGATTTCGCTAAATTTTGTTTTACCAAACCAGAGAAGGGCAATTCTTATCTTCAAACATTTAACTTATTTGGTAAATTTATTTTATACTTGCTTGTTATGGAAGTAGAAAAAATCTAAGGCTTCGTTCACATGAAAAATCTATTTTCTAAAAATCTATTTTCTATTCGTGGTATCTTGTGATCACGGTCTGTGCCCTGAATACCCCGTGGCGTAATTACTGCCACCGCGAGCCAGTTACTTCCAAAGCTGTAATTAATTCTTGGCTGCGCTCGGAGTGATCGCAAGATACCGCGAATAGAAAATAGATTTTTAGAAAATAGACTTTTCATGTGAACGGAGTCTTATTAGTTATTAGATTATACAATGATTCTAACAGGCAGGTTTAATTTTAAAACTGATCAAATTCCTTTATCTTGTATGATCTGTGCTCAATATTTCCAAGTCTAAAGTCCCAGCTCCATTATAACTGAGCACATGTATGATAAGAAAATGACCAAGTCATTTTTGTGTTTTTACTTTCTTTAAGTGACTCCATGTCTTTCAACAGTTTTCCTGTCCCCTTGGAAATGTTGAGAAATATAGCAGATTCGCCATTGAGTATTAATTTTTAAACATTATGTCTGCTCTCTTGGTAACTGACAATTACAGAATAATATCTGTATTGTGTGTCACATCATCATCATCATCATCATCATTTAAAAAGTCTACTGGATATTGGATTTTCCCTTGAGCTACATACCCGGTATGTGACTGTCTCCATGCTATAGAGCAAAGCCATTTTCACTTTAGGTTCTGGAAAGATTCTTCCTCATACAAATCGAGATTATTTTTTCATAAAATGATAGTGCAGAATAATAGGCCATCCTTTTTTACTGAAGTAAAATTTGAAAAAAAAATGATAGATAAAGATAGATAGAATAAGCCCATTCACCTGATCTGACATTAAAAAAATGTAGCACTTACTGTATTCCATTGGTCTACATCAATAACAATAGAACTTATTGCTTTGGAGAAAAAAGGGCAACCTTTATATGACAATTAAATTGTCTGTTCAAAAGTGTCCTTGTGAGATTTTCCAGACAGTATAAGTCAATTTATACAATTAGAAAGTATAATTTTTTTACAGAAAAAGGGAATGAATACAACTACTAAAAAGCATTTTCATTTTCTCAAATGGGGTGATGCTTACACCGGTTGTAGAAAAAAAAATGCCAGTTTGTTTTTCAGTAGTTG